GTATTGGAATATGTGTCACTAGATTTCCTAACATGCAGGCTGCATAGTCGGGACAAAAAGTTTCATAAAATATGGGACCCATTTATGGCGTATGTGGGTTTGGATATTTCTGCTATTTTCTCACGGGCCTTGGTATAATGCAAGCAGATCACTGCTGTTTTACATATATGTATTGTTAATCGTACCTCATAATCAACATGTCTGGATTTTCCACTTATTTCTTTGTATTCATGAGCCGGGTTGCCGGTCTCTTTGTTTTTTGTCTGTTTTGTTTCGTTCTGCTATGTTGTTGTTGTTGTTTTGGTTATTTGTTTGTTTGTTTAATTTTGGTGTCAGTGTAAAGTTTAAAACTCAATAAACACAGTTAAAAAAATGACTGAATTTAGATTGAGGAGTCACATTTGTAAATTCAGTTACACAGCAGTCCAAGTCATTTGTCATTTGTTAGTTGGAGCAGTTATATTTTGAAGGATTAATTTGAGAGATTGCTACGTTGAAGTCTTTGCGATTTAGCAAACTGATTTTTCTTGTTAAAAAACAGAAATCACAGAAATAAAATTGTACATTTAAAATCAGAACTAAGATTAAAGACAGCGCAGTGACACAGCTTCACTTTTCCTTCTCTTTAATAACAAAAACTGCATTTCAGTTCCATAAAGAACAAAGAGAGACCCCCCCCAGTGAGAGACGAGTATAATGTTAAACGTGGAAAACCTGGTGTTGCGTCATCAGGGTCTGATGGTGGGGGTTTCCAAAATGCATTCAGATCAAGCTGGAGAGGCGCAGAACGACAGCATACATACATTCCACATTCTAGAGGTTGTACAGGGTCAAATGCAGACGTGGTACCCATGCTTTACCTAAGTTACAAAGTTTCAGGTGGCTCGCCTTATTTATCCCTCTTCGCTCTTTATGCAGAAAAGGCTTCATGTGGCTCAGAGCGCCCATGACAGGGATGAGGGGAAACTGAAACCCAGACGTGTCTAGAAAAGAAAACGAGAACAGTACATCGGAGGAACGGGTCCAGAGACGCCGTTATACAAAGAATGTATTCACACCTGTACAGAGGAGTAGGCCTGTGTCTGCTTTCACAAGAAGGCACCTCCTTTCCATGCTGACTGGATACTACTGGCCTTAAAGCACACCTGGCAAGTGCACGTGTGTTTATATATGCTCATACATACAGTACATACCCCGTGAGGACTTGACGGGGGGGCGGGGCGACGTGGATTGTGACAAATCAAGTCTCACAAAATTAGAAGAATGAAATCTGAAGACATTACGCTCACTCGGGAGCGCTGAACAAACAGTCCTGGTAAAAAGTTCTCTGGAAAGATTTGGAGCTGCCAGAAGTTTATTGTCGTCTTTGGCACACTCCTGTTGTGCCCAAGTAGGGTTTCCTATCAAACCCTTGGCAGACTTGAATACAAAGTCATCTATCTACATATAAAGATTTGTGCTCTTTGACTGACAGGCAGGGCGTTTGATAGCCACGCCCTCTCCCACACACACTCACCCTCCTCTCAAAAAGAGGCTATGGGAATAATCACATGCTCCACAATAAAATATATACAAGTCTGCAAACATGGAGTTTGTGTTTACTCAAAAAAAGCTACAGATTCTGACAAAGCATAAAAAGCTGTAGTTTGTTTTTAGTCTAAGGAAACGTGTTATTAAGGTAACTTGTCAAGTAAATATGACCGTTCAGTTTAAATCCATGGACACCCGACTGCTGCTCAGCGAGGCAGTGGTGACAGAGTCTCTGATCCACTCAAGTTCTGGGTTTCCACCACACATTAGCCTCCATCGCTCATGCTGTGAGTGGCATGATCCAAAAGTTTCAGCTTTCTATGCAAACGCTGACATTGTGTCACATGCAACAGTTAGTGTACCTGAAATCCAAAGATTTAGTGTAACACTTCCAGAAGGTTGGGAACAATCGCAGACTGAACAAAGACGAATATTCCTACGCACCGAGCCACTCTAAGCGTAGGAAATTCCCACGCCAGGATCAGGATGACTCCCGGTGACATCACCAGGGAATCTCGGAGAAAGCTCCAGTCTGTGTCACACTACACAGGCTGAGCTGCACTCAGATCAATAGATCATGATTAAAGCTGTGGCTTCACAGCAGCTCGACGATCATCCCACACACAGCAGGTCGATTTTGAGGCTC